TATGTTCATTCTTTTCAACTCCAATTCATTTATTATCAAAAATCTGCAGGGATGGGTAATGCTGACGCTATAAATAATCTTGGATATTGTTATCTTAATGGAATTGGAATCGAAAAGGATGAACATAAGGCACTCATTTATTACCAAAAATCTGCAGAGATGGGGGATGCTAAAGGAACATATAATGTTGGATGGTGCTATGAAAAAGGAATTGGAGTTGAAAAGAATGAACATAAGGCATTCATATATTATCAAAAATCTGCTGAGATGGGAGATTCTAAAGGAACATGTAATGTTGGATATTGTTATCGAAATGGAATTGGTGTTGAAAAGGATGAACATAAAGCATTCATTTATTATCAAAAATCTGCAGAGATGGGTAACGTCGATGGAGCATTTCAGGTTGGACAATGCTATTTTTATGGAATTGGAGTCGAAAAGAATGAATACAAGTATTTTAGCTGTAACCAAAAAACAGCAGAGATGGGGAACGCTGCTGGAACATATATTGTTGGATATTGTTATCGAAATGGAATTGGTGCTGAAAAGGATGAACATAAAGCATGCATTTATTATCAAAAATCTGCAGAGATGGGACACGTTGATGGAATATTTCAGGTTGGATATTGTTATTATTTAGGAATTGGCGTTGAAAAAGATGAACATGAGGCATTCATTTATTATCAAAAATCTGCAGAGATGGGACACTCTAAAGGAGTATTTGCGCTTGGCAGCTGCTATCACCATGGAATAGGGATCAAAAAGGATATGCATAAAGCATTTATTCATTATAAAAAATCTGTAGAGATGGGGATTACTAGTGGATCATATTTAGTTGGAAGTTGCTATGAAAATGGAATTGGAGTTGAAATGAATGTACATAATGCATTCATTCATTATCAAAAATCGGTAGAAATTGGGGATGCTCGCGGAACATATAATGTTGGACGTTGTTATGAAAATGGAATTGGAGTTGAAAAGGATGAACATAAAGCATTCATTTATTATCAAAAATCTGCAGAAATGGGGGATGCTCGCGGAACATATAATGTTGGACGTTGTTATGAAAAAGGAATTGGAGTTGAAAAGGATGAACATAAGGCATTCATTTATTATCAAAAATCTACTGAGATGGGGAACGCTGCTGGAACATATAATGTTGGATATTGTTATGAAAAAGGAATTGGAGTTGAAAAAGATGTACAAAAGGCATTCATTCATTATCAAAAATCTGCAAAGATGGGACATGCAACTGCAATAAGACATGTTGGACATTGTTATCAACATGGAATAGGGATTAAAAAGAATAAGCATAAAGCATTCATTTACTATCAAAAATCTGCAGAACTGGGGGATGAAGGAATATGTGATGTTGCATATTGTTATCTTAATGGAATTGGAATTGAAAAGGACGAACTTAAGGCATTTAATTATTTTCAAAAATCGGCAGAGATGGGTAATGGTGTTGGAATATATAATATTGGACACCTTTATTACGAAGGAATTATTGTTGAAAAGAATGAAGACGAAGCATTCAGATATTTTCAAAAGTCTGCTGAAATGGGTATTCCGGCAGGAATAGTGCGTGTTGGTTATTTTTATCAAAGTGGAATTGGTGTTGAAAAAGATGATGACAAGGCATTTATTTTCTATAAAAAATCTGCTGACATGGAATATTTACCAGGAATGTATCAAGTTGGGTATTGTTATCGAAATGGAATTGGAGTGGAAAGGAGTTTACAAGAGGCTAATAAATGGTACAAAAGGTGAATAGGCTTTTTAAATGTATCTTTACTAACTCATTATTATTAAATATTTATACGTATATTTTTTTTATTAAACTAGAGGATCGGACTTCTTAACAGGTGATAGTTAGTAATTATTGACTTTATTAAAGTTTTACAGTAAGTCTAATAAGTAAAATTGTTTAGCTACGTATAAAGCGATACCTGAAAATTCCGATATCGATGATGAAATAAAAAACGTGTTGAACAAAAGTAAATTAAAATTAGCATGGATTCCTTATGATGAATTAAGGAATATTAAAAAGATAGGAGAAGGTGGTTTTGCAACTATATCTAGAGCTATTTGGGAAGATCCTGAAAGAAATTTTGGTGTTCCTGTTGCGCTTAAACTATTACATGGAACTAAAGATTGTCTTGATAATTTTATGGATGAGGTATTTATTAACTTCATCTTTAAGAATATTATTTAAAATTATATGCTAACAACTACTTTAATATGATTTTACGTAAAGTTAAAAGCATATTGCGATATTTGTTATGAAAATCCTTCGTTTTTGCAATGTTATGGGATATCCAAAGATAATGATTCTAAAAATTACATCGTTGTTTTAAAATACGCAGAGATGAAATCTTTGAGTAAAAACCTTGATAAGATAGTTCAATTGGAGTGGAAAAATAAACTAAATTTGCTACTTTGTATCACTTCTGATCTTAGTATAATTCATTCTAAAAACTTTGCTCATCGAGATTTACATAGTGGAAACGTTTTACAAGATAATTTATATAGTGCATATATATCCGATTTGGGACTCTCAAATTCTAATTCTGAACAAAAGAAAGGTGGGGTTGTTGGAGTTCTGCCATATATTGCCCCGGAAGTTTTAATGGGCCAACCATATACTATAAAATCTGACATTTATTCATTTGGAATGATAATGTGGGAAATCTTATACGGGATGCCTGTATCTTATGATCGTAATTTTAATGAAATGCAACTTCAAGCAAATATATGTTTCAAATATTTACGACCACCCGTCAACAAAGAGGCACCACAATGTTATGTAAATCTGATGAAAAATTGTTGGGATAAAGAACCTGAAAAACGACCATTAGCCAAAACACTCTATGAAAATTTTTTAAAATGGCAAAATGACGATAAAATTTTGTTAGAATTAAATAGTTCATTATCAAAACTTGAAAACATTGAAAAATCATATGCGGACATATATAGCAGTAAAAGCAAATTTACTTATTATAGTGAGTCAATTTTAAGAAGTGACGAGGAATTACAAGATTTAACAATTGATTAGTGCTCCTAAAGAGTCATTCGGGTCGGGTTTGGGGTTGAACCCAAATTTGTTCGAACAAACTCGGGTTTGAAAATCTCTACTCGGGTATTATTAAAATTATCCGGTTATCCGGTGATTTATTATAGCTCAATCTCTACCACGAAGTTAGGCGATTTTTTTTAAATTTGTTATATAACATTAATGCTAAGACTAGATTTCAATCTATTATTTTTATTTATATAGCACTTATAGTAAGACTACATTTCAATATTATTGTTTGTAATTCAAACTATATTAATTACATCATTTATTATTAATTTAACTAATCATACGATATTTAACTATCATTGATTTTGACATACTTTTCATGCACATTATACTTTTACTATTGATTGACCGTGATTTAATCACTTGGGGTCATGTGGTAAATTTCGGGTTTTATGTTCTGGGGTTGATTACCCGGGTTTCTTGACCCTTTTCGGAGCACTACAATTGATAATTTTATTTCTAACAATAGTTAATGAATATCATTTGATTTGTTACAATTGCATGAGCTTTTTTTTTGTATTTTTAATAGCAATTAAGTCATGTAGAATTTCTTATATTATAGATTTGAATGACGTTTAATATAGAACAACGCCAGGGTGTAGGATCGATTTTACTGTCACATGACTTCCGGTGCTAATGATCTACATCATGCATGTATCTTCCGATCACATTGAAACCGTTCTAAAATTTAATTTTTTTTAAATTATTTTGACCTTTATAAATTTAAGAAAGTGCGAATAATTTTAATAATAACATAAGTAGTGATGTTAAACTGTTTGTATTTTCTATAAAACCGAGCTAGTTCTGATAAATTGATATATTAAATTTGATTTTAGACTAGTTAAACGGTTTAACACCAAATATAAAAATAATTTACATGCATTATCGTCAGCGATATTCTTTTTATTTCATTTAATTTATTGATTCAGACTTTTTTTTCAATTATAATTACTTAAAAATTATGTACTTGAATTGCTAATTAAAACGACAATTGATATTTAGTAATGGTTGAAACGACAACTAATATTATATTTAATTTACAAGCATACTTAATATACGTTCTAATAAATAGTCGTGAATATGAAATTTTAAATAGAGAATTTATACTCAAATTATAAATTTCTGGCAATGCACGATCCATAATCAAATAATAAATATACCCAAGTCAGTATGAAGATGGCAAAGTATGTATAAAACAGAAATAAATTTCTGTTTTATGCGCATTTTGATATATGAAGAATTAAATAACCCATTGTTTGGTTTTTGCGCACATTTGTGTCATGTTCCAAACAATCAAGTAAATTATATACATGTTATGCATCAAATTAATATTTGCGTCAGTTAAAGTAGTTATAATCCCGCTAATACTACTCTAACCACCCTAATCCTATGAAACTCATTATTTAAATTTCGATCTGACACAAATTTTAATTTGACGTACAAACATATATATTTTTCATGCACATTTTGACCACACTGATTCAATCAAATCCTGGGTAATTATTTTGGAGCGTATTCAAATAAAATAAATACCATTTTCGTCTTACGCATATTTTAGCAATATTCAAATCAGTCGAATTGAGCATTAATTTGTTGCATGCTACTTAATTATCTTTAAATAATTGTTAAACCAGATCCCTGAATTAAGAGCGAATAAACGTATTTATAAGTCACTATTTTCTCTGTTAGCTATTTAGAATTTTCGAAATTAATATTTTGTCAAAAATAAAATTAACTGAAAATTTTAAACCAAATTACTTATCTGATTACTGAAATATTCAAATTTGATCTCAAGCCAAATAAATTCTATCAATTTGATTAAAATTCCAAGACCACATAATTCGCCATAATAAATTGCACTTAAAATAATGCCTACCAGTAGCACTTGTGCGGGTGATCTCCCCTCTGATGCATTCATATATAAGGGTAAAAACTATAATACTTGCAACAGCTGTAGAATTTCAAGAGTTGAAAAGCGGAATACCAAAAAAAATAAATTACTCGGTGATTTTAATCCTGAACAAACTTTTGTCAAAATAATTTCCGTCCAAGAAATTAGCAATTATATTACAAATGCAATTAATGACCTTGATGATCATGCTGAACTTTCTCTTACTTTTTGTGTTCGACTCGATGAGGCCACTATTAATGATATTGACGCAGATGTTAGAGTTATGGCTAAATTAATTATCGACGAAATAGAGGAAGGGGATAACTACAAATGGACGTATGTAATAAATATGTTTATTATATAAAGTTTAAAAAACATTTTAGGCATGCCTTGAACTATAAGTGCTAGTAAATTTTTTTTAGATATGTTATACAGTATAAAGTTTGCTTAAACGCATGTACTTGCATATATACTTGTTGGCCAAATTACAATCCACAAATCTCTAAAATCTAGAATTATCCAATCTCAAACCCAGTAAAATTGTCTAAAGTCCAAAAATAAAATAATTAAAATCAAATTTTAAAGTTTTGCCAACAAGTATATAGATTATGCTTAAGATATGCCTAAAGATCTATGAACTTTACCTTAATATTATACAGTATTATTCGACCATATAATAATTAATCACATTTTTAATAGAGCTACAACCACACCAAATCTCTCTGCTCGCTATCCTAGTGTCGGAAATGCTTATTTTGCATGCTCTCAGAGTTTAGAACTTGAGCGTGAATTTAAGGATTCAAGTCGTGAAAGAATATTCTGTTATAACTGTGATGGCCAAATATCAATTAAGATTGATATCCCGGCAACAGAAGCAAAAATAGTCTTAAAACACAAAGTTCTTTATGAAAGACCCATTGATACTACAATGTCATCTGAAATAAAGCAAGAAATTAGTAAAAATTTGGATTTAAATCCTGTAGAACTGCGAAAATATCTTTGTAAAAAGTTTGACTTATCTAACGTTACATCCAAGCAGATTCATTACTGGTGGTCATATTATACACAACAGTTCTATAGGAGTGACAAAGATCATATTGTTTCGGCGCGTATGTTTTTTGATCGGCAACAAGAAAATGAATGTAAGTTATGCTACCAGCTTGAAACAGATAATACAACAGCAATTGGCTTCACAACCAAACTACTTAACCAATCAAATTATTCAGAAATACATTGTGATGCCACCTATAAGACTTCAAAGGGAAAATTTGAACTTTATGGCCTCGTTGGCAACAGCGAAGGTGCTGGTTTTCCTTTGGCATATTTAATTTTAGATATAACAAAGGCCTTAAAAAATGAAAGTCAAGAAGGGTTACGAACCAATGCGCTGACAGGCTTTTTTTATTTCCTTCACGATAAAGGCCTAAACCCACTCTATTTTTATACGGATAAAGATTTCGCTGAGATCAATGCCGCTAAAAATGTGTGGCCTATAAGTAACATACAGCTTTGTCAATGGCACATTGACAAAGCACTTAAAGAAAAATTAAGAAGTCGTAAAAAAATTGAGTGATTAAATTATAATTATGAAGAAGTTGCAAAAGAATTTACTTTTGTAAATTCTTCTTTTATACCTGACTTGCAACGTACGGATAGTGAATACTATATAATTTGTCCGCCTGCTCTTCATGGAACTGTTATTGAAATGGTTAAAAACTATTTCAATATACATCCTAAAATACCTACGAATAGTGGTCAATTTCTTTCCCCTAAAGAAATAAGAACAAAAGCAGTTTTTGAAATATACGAATTTTGTATTGCAAATAATCTGGTATTGTTATGGACCTATCTGTGGTTTTCCTGGTATAAATATACACAATGGTGTCTTTGGGCACGTTCTACAAGAATGTTCATACCACTAGGCAAAACCAATATGCTGATTGAGGTGCACTAGAGGGTTTTAAAACACTGTTACCTCCACCAATTTAACCGCCCATGACTTGACTACCTAATATGAATTATTTGTACACGTGTTGTACCTGACCAAGCTAATCGCCTTCATCAATTATTAACTGGTAGAATAGTGCCATCATGGTTTGAAGAATTTAAGAAGGAATGGAGAAATCTTCTAACCAAATCAGTTAATGCTACAGAAAATCAATATTTTATTGATCTGGAACGATGGATTTGCAGCTGTCCATTATTTCTTCGAAGCCATTTCCTCATATGCAAGCACATAATTCATAAAGTGTTAGAAAAATCTAGGTCTCAAGGTATTCGATTAATCTATTCAAATTTTAAATGACAAACCAACTATCCTTTTTTAGTTTGGGACGGAAGGGGATCACAAAATATATCTGAAAATGCAGAAGCTTTTAGCATGCATAATGAGGTTAATATTTTTAATCAAAACCTTACAAATGAAAATGAAGAAGATATTACTAAAAGATGTCAAAGTATAGAATCAAAAGTAGTGGCATTGCAGCATTTGGTTGACCATATTAATGAGGAATTGAATGCAAATAATTTTCAACATGTAGAAACCATCATTAATAATTTAGATCATGCCTTTACAATTATCTCAGATATCGAAAAAGTAAAAAACCAGAGAGTTCAACATACAACCTGGTGTGGTTCGAAGCCTTGAACATTATTCCTAAATTAATATCTAACAACCTCTTAATATTTTTATTAGTATTAAAATGAAATCCATATTACTATAATAATAGTAAAATTTTATCTTAAAATAGTGCTTTAGTTCAGTCAAATTTATCTTCAAAGTTGCCATCTTTAGATCCATGATCTTTAATCTTGCAAATAAAAGTAAAAGTTTTGTAAATATTTTTACCAGTTACAATAAAATACCGAAGTTACAGTACTTGTAATTAACTTGTTTAAAAAAAAAAGTATATGAATTAAACTAAAAGCGTTTTAAATCATAAATACTGTTTCTTTAAAAAAAAATTTTCTTGATTAATTACAATATCGATATTTCATAGCGATATCAAACAATTACTTTTGTTACACAGAGTACAACATATGCAGGCACGTGTGTGTCATATTTGGTATCGGAATGAATGATCGCATATATACATCATCGGGGTCGGCAATCACGTGTGTGTCATATTTGGTATCGGAATGAATGATCGCATATATACATCATCGGGGTCGGCAATCACGTGATAGTACAATTGATCCTACGCCCTGTCAAAATCTTTAATATAGGTGGTATTATCAATAAAATTGGTAAAATATAAATATTTTAAATATTTGTAAATATTTATTAAAAAAATATTCTACTTGTCGCTGGCGGTGACAGTACCGGATTTATTTAGAGTCATATTAAGGTTAGAGAAAGGGTCATAATATATAGTAAAACTATGCAAGGAATATTTTTTAGACACGGAAGTTGGTTACATATGTATAATTTTGATTTGAAATTTTGAGGATTTGAATCGTGCAAGCTGATTGGCCTGGGTCTGTCACCGACTGCGACAAATAGATTCGTCCTCTCTTAAAAATTGAAGATAAATATGTTTTAACATCATGCAATGCAGCAATATACTCATGTTACTAGAGATTAAACCTGTTTAACTACATGAAATTTTTTATAGTGCTGGTGTGAATTCTATTGATTATATTTAGACTATGATAAATATGAAGAAATTGTTTTTACAACTTTCATTCATTAAAACATACTATGCATATTCTATTAAAATATTTGATTATTAAAAAGGTTCAAATGTATTAAAACATACTTAGAATAAATATGTATCTTGTCGGCAAAGATAATAATATATAGTTATTGGATACTTCGCATCCAATAAGTATAAGATATTGGTCATACGATGAAAAATAACAGGACATTTTTTTCATCGGAGTTCATGTCACCCCATGTGCTGCGTAGCGGCACATGAGCTCCGATGAAAAAAATTTCCTGTTATTTTCGTATGACCAATATTGATGTTATTGTTTATATTATATTAGCAT